CTTATGTAAAGTGACGACCGGTTAAATTTTCTAAAACTTTGTTATTGTACCTAGTAACCAAAAGTGTCAATAGGCTCAACTCAATCCTAGGACTGGTTTTCGATATACAGGGTGTTAAAGTTGAAGATTGCTTAAATTTTCTAAATTTTTATTTTCAAAATTACGAGCTAGATTGAATTTCTGTTGCATCTACACGTTTACTATATATTTTAATATTGCATTAGTACCTATGTACAATTAAAAATATTTTCACTCACAGGGCATATTTTTAAAGAATAAAAGATTATACAATAGGCATTTCTTATACAGGGTGTTTTATTATTATTTTTTTCAATGATTAATTTATAACCCCGTAGGTACATATTAACTGATTTTTGGGAAAAGTAATACCACTTAAATTTGTGTACCTCTAAGCTTCAAAATATATAAGGTGATTTATTTGTTCGAAGATATTCCATTTTAAGAAAAGTACAAAAACCACTAAAATTTCCCCGGTAAAATGTAACCATTTTTTAGTATATAATGCTTTTATACCACCTGTATACGAGTATAAGATGTTAGTTTTAAATTCGAAATAAAGTGAAGAATTGCTGATTTTAGTTATTTTTGCTTCAAACTGAAAAGCTAAATTGACTTTATTTAGCATATATAAGTTTAATATAAGTTTTGGTCAGATGTCCATAAAAAGAGACAGTTCAAAATATTTACTGTTACAGGATGATTCACGAATAAATCACAATATATTTTTGCAACTTTGTATAAAAACTTGTCACATATACATATACTGATATATTTTGTAGGTACTTATAAAACAGTTAGATTTCCCTGTATATTTTAAAATCTAATGTTATGTTATTAACTTACTCAAAAGTCACTAAAGAAATGTAAGGTCTCTTTTTAATAATTTCAAAACATATTTTTTTTGTGGCTGGATGGACCACCCTGTATAAAAAGTACACAGCTAAATCTTTTGACCTTAAAATTGTGAACGGGTAGATATTAACTCAATGGAATAATTTCTCTGTGGCGCAGCTGTACAGATATTGTGTGTTTGTAAAAAATATATATTGTGATTTATTCGTGAATCACCCTGTAACAAATATTTTAAACGGAATGGATATCTCACCAAAACTTATATTAAACTTATATATTCTACATAAAGACAATCTAGCTTTTTAGTTGGAAAAAAATAACTAAAATCAGCAATTCTCCACTTTAACGCCCTGTAGCTCGAAAACTGGTCATAGTATCGGATTTAAAATTATATCTCTTAAAACGGTGTTAAAATTATCATATACTGAGAAAATAGTTACATTTGACTTGGGAAATTTTATACTACAAGGTGTTCGTGGTATTTTTGTACTTTTATTAAAATAAAATATCTTCCAACAAATAAGCCTTGTACATTTTGAAGCTTAGAGGTACACATATTTTAGTGGCATTACCTCTTATAAAAATCAATTAATAAGTAGGTACAGGGTTTTAAATTAGTCCTTAAAAAAATAATTATATGTGGTTCTCACTACAAAATACCCTGTATAAGAAATATGTACTGTGCAATATACCAAATACCATACTGAGTAATACTTTTTGAAAATATGCTTCCCTGACGTCACAGTAGAAATAGTGAGATTTTGCAAAAAAACTACCGTCACATCTTTCTGAATCACCCTGTAATTAAAAATATTTTCAATTATACGTACGTAATAATATATTACTAAAACATGTATTAAACGTGTGTATGCAATAGAAATACAGTCTAGCTCGTAAGTTGGAAAATAGAATTAATCTGGCAACACTGCTCTCATCATTCATATGATTCCGGCCAAATAGTGATAGAATTCTCACCTACTCACCTTCCTCCATGCTACTCACATAGTTACAAGAATAAGGCCCCAGAAACAATAGGTTATTTCGTTGGTCCCACTGGTGTAAGAATAAACTACACCACCAACGGACACTATACCTTTTATTTGTCCCGGTGCAAAATCCACTACACATTCCTGTCGCCAATGTGGTGTCCACTGGTGGATATTTTCTCCACCAGCTATTTAGCAGCAGTGAATTACACTTGACATGTGTATAAGGAATAAAGAGGAAGTAAACTAGGTAAATAAGGTGGTGTAATTTACACTGGTGCACACTACACCAACAGCGAACGAAAGAACCTAATTACAGTTTCCCTATTCTATATAATGCAAGTCTTTATGCAGATTAGGATTTTTAAATGTATTGTTCTTGATAAAATTGGTACAGCGATTATAAAATAATAATAGGTAATAAGGGGGCGTCCATTAATTACGTGAGGTATTTTTGAGGACTTTTTGACCCCTCTCCCCCCTGGTGAGATTTCGTAAGATTTCCCCTCCCTCCTACCCTAATATTACGTGAGATTTTTCAAAATTTTTATTTTGGGTGTAAATGCGTTGATTATTAAAAAAAAAAACAAAAACAATATGTTCTATTACTTTTATTTAAGACTAGTATTTGAGAATATCGCCGTAATATAAATTTTTTAGAAATATTCTTTACTTTAATTTAACTTTACTTTCACGCAATTTTACACTGTTTCCTACTAGAAAAAAAATTACGTAACATTTACAAAGAGTGAGATTTGGAAAGATTTAGCTTGATCCCCTCCCCCTTTGAACACCTCACGTAATTAATAATGACACACCAAATAAACCTTATAAAGGGACGATACAATTAGGTACCAAAGTTGTAAATAGGTATAAAGATAAATTTGAGTTTTTTTAGGTTCTTTTTATATTCATAATAGCTTATCGATACAGATAAGGAAAGTAAGTATAAATAGGAATCATGATTTTTTTCGATCTCGAGTTTTCGACGGATTTTTACGTTTTGGGGTCCCCTGAATCCGTTTCAACTATTTTCGCGATGTTGTCTGTGTGTGTGGCTGTATCCTCGATAACGGATACAGAGAAAAACACCAAATATTAAACTTAAGCTTTATTCTGGCCTGCGGTGAACTGATTAGATTTTGAGCAGAGTCGAAACATCTCGGGGGGGTACTTTATAAAGGGTCATTTTTATATTTTATGGAATATATCTGTTATTTACGTTTGGAAAAGAAAATTTTTCAAATAAAAGTTACTTCTAATATTTTTCTCTATAATGTTTGTCCTATACAAAACTTTCCTAAAATGGTCCTAATAGATCGTAATGGAAAAATTTGAGTATTTTCATTGGCAGTGAATATATATAAAAAAATGTTTCAAGTAAGATGTATGTGGAATATGTATGGGTGATTCTCGCCTAACTGTGATTTTTTATGTCCAGTGTTTTATTTATCGTTTAGCATAAGTTTTCCTCATCAAAAAGTTAATAATATTATAAATTTAGAGGTATTTTACAACCGACATTATGAAATAGATCATAAACCTTCGTAATTTTTTTTTAAGCTGCATATAAATATACTCGAAATGTCAGTACCGTTGCATGCCCGATTCTCATTTTTAAAATTAAATATATAAATTTCTATCAAAATTCATTTTTTAATATAAAATTTACCTCTTATAACTACAATCTAATGCATACTGCATTAAATTTTATTGCAATTTTATACCAATCTTTGGATTGGTAAAAAAAAATAATCATTTATATGTCAGAACCGTGGAAATAATGTCAGTATCGTGGCATTAAAATTTTTAAATTTTGTCACAGTTTTCGTTGTGTCGTAGCTGTAGTAGAACCACTTTACAGGCTTATTTCTATGCATAAATAGAAAACAAAAACGCGTAAAACATACGTTTTGAAACATTTTTAATTTTAGAAAAATGTAAGTTGTAAAAATCACAGTTAGGCGAGAATCACCCATATATTTAGTTTATCCTCTAAACATTTACAGAGGTGATCCAATAGGTTGTACAGAATAACCGGAAAAAGCCTGTAATAACTAGATAGGAAAGTCATGTGTTGGACACACCAGATTTTTATTGATGTTTTGGGTATCTGATAGTTTCAAATGTTTTTTCGACAGCTCTAAAAATAAAAAAGAATACATAGATTCTAGTTGATAATGTTTACAATATTACCAATTACTCTTAAGAAAACTCATATTCGTAAATCGGCGACGTATTAGTCTTACCACGTCGGGATTTCACAATGAGTCTGTTCTTGTAGGTACTGAACTGATTCGAGCAGCTAATGTGTCGGCGATTTTCGTGTATGCGCCCGGCTTAGTCGGCATTATTGAAATTCCGCCACTGACAATACAAGTTCCCATGAGTTTAAGTATAAATTAAGAAAAGAAGAAAATATGTTTAGGTATAAACTTACTATTACTGCTATAACTTATATTTTTCCTTCCTTTTCGTTTACTATGAAGGCTGACAGTGTCCCACCTGTTAATCTTGGCCTGTCTCTCTTACTTTTTTCTCAATTTTCTACATATTATTTAATTGTAAAACATTAAAAATTAAGCTTCTTCTAGTGGACCAAGCACAAATTTTTGTGATAAAACTGAACATCTAATATATTAATGCAAAATATATTTTTTGTGGCTACCTTTAGAGAGCTATAATTTTCTGAGGAGACACTTTGGAACCTACCCTTTTCAACTGAATGTACCGGGTGTTGTAATGTTTATGACCAATGATAAAATTAGGTAGTCAAAATTCATTAAAATTTTGGAGATTACCATTTTTATATATTTGACATTACTTAATTTTGCATTTTTTTTTTTGGAAAAAAAACTTATTTTTATCATTGGCCATAAGCATTGCGCCCCTAAGAGCAAAGTTAAGAACTTAAAAAAATAGCAATTTTTAGGGACCACTTTTGTTAATAAAAAAATCTCAATCTGTAGGATAAATGTTCCTTAAATATAACAGGCATCTTTTCTAATTTGGACATCCGTATATACAGCAAGTTGAAATAAAAGATACTATATTGAAAAAAATGTTGTTAAAAAGTTCAAATATGAATGTCCAATAAAAATGAAAACAATATATATAAAAGAAATTTATTTATAAAAACTTTAAAGACGACTTATGCAATATTAGTCAATAGGAAATCCCCAAACTTTTAAACTACCAGCATCTCTCTTCCTGTCATAACTGTCCTTATCATCACAGGCATATGCCAAAAGATAAAGAGATGGATGCCAAGCCACAGTAAATGTAGCAGCCTCAACTGAGATATCGGCTATTTTATCACCACTTTCAACAAAGCCAATGTCTATTATCAAATCTTCAGAAGCTGAAGCCAGAAGTTGACCATCGTGACTGAAGGAAATTGTTCTAACTGGCCAATCCATTCTAAAATAAAATTGATTTTTAAGAATTACAACCACCAAATAAACTAAAACTTCTGTCAACATGTCCAAATAATTTGAATAAGACTGAATAGTGAGATATGTACCTCGTAAAAACTCTTTGGCAAGCAAGTTCATTGATATTCCATAATGAAACCAATGCATCAGCACTTCCTGTAGCAAAGTACTTCCCTGTTGGGTCAAATTCTATACAAATACAAGTGCCTGGATGTGCTTTCAAAATATGTTGTTTTTTCAAATCAGGATAACTGCAAAAAAACAGTTTTTGTAAATTAGATTTTTTATTGATAAAAGTAGAAACCCACCTTAAAATATGGACACAACCCTGTCCATTTGTCAAAAAGAAGAGATCACTGGTATTATTCCAAGATATTTCATTAACTTCAAAATTAAACTGCTCCTCTGCTTCTATTTTGTAAGTTCGAGCGTCAATAAAAGTAACTAAATCTTCCTTATTACCTACAGCTATTGCATTACCATTTGGAGACCACGTTATGTTAATGTTTTCTCCTTTTGTACTTATAGTGGTAACACATTTTTGTACTCTAGTGTCCCAAATCCTTACGGATTTATCTCCGCTTGCTGTGCTGAGAAGATCCGCATGAGTTTGATGCCAGCAAAGTTGGTCTACAGAGCCACTATGGCCCTTAAATGTATGCTCCTTGTTCTATAAATTATTATAAAATTAAATAAATAGATACAAATTAATGAGTTGATAATCATACCAGTCTATCTCTGTCCAAAGTGTAAACACAAACTGATTTATCGAAAGAACCAGAAGCTAATCTCTTTCCATCACAACTCCAACCAACGGAATGGACTTTTGACGAATGACCAACGTATTCTTTGTATTTGTTATGGGTTTTAAAATGTGACTGTAATTCTTCAATTTTCTCTTGATGTCCTTTCATTGTACAATAAGCGAAACCGTAAAAAATACACTATTACACTTATAACAAGAAATCATAAACAAAAAAGTAACATAAACATAACCTCAATCTAATTCTTCTTTTTGGTATGTTTTTGTGATCTTTTACTTACACAGACAACAGACATCGCTACTATTCATCAACTAATGAATATTACTAGAACAGAAGTAAAAGTTGGAAATGCTTTTGCCAGTTCTCCCACTTTATACACATAAATTGACAGGTTGGCACCGGATCTCACCGAAGTGGACGCGATACATTGGCGTACAAAATTATTTTATAGATGTTAATAACAATTTCGAGTAAATAGTTTAATAAATTGTGAATAGCTGCTGAAATTTTGTAAAATTATAATTTGAATATTATAATACATGTTTAATAATTATTTATAATCCATAAATACATGCGATTGTCCGGTTCCGCCGATAACAATTTAAAATTACTTATTCTATGAAACGACACTGGCAGGTAAACATTACTGTGAAATTCTCGGAGCCGCCCGACGTTGTTTGACGTTTACCCCCTCTCTACCTACCAAAAGACTTTTCAACTTTTACTTTCTTCATAGCCATGGAATGGAGGAGGGACAGGGGCCCAATTCCTGACGCCTTCGTTAACTTATCGCATGCGATAACGTATGCGACTTGATGAAAGTGTATTCCTGAGCTGGCGGCATTCGTCAAATTTATTAACGCGTGCGCTAAGAAATGATGATTTTCAAAGAGCGCTCATGACCGTTCGACAACCACTTTATCGCATTCGTTTAGGTGAAAGTAAGGTTATAATTGTCAATTAATCCTGCTTTATCATACGTGATTCTGATTCATGTTTCTATGTATTGGTTTTGGCTATGTTTTGTGATTTATTGGGAAATATTTATTTTTAATTTGACTTTTTTGAACATTTTATTAGTTACTAGAATATAAAAATTAAACTTTTTGTACAGTGAACTCTTTTATTGGACGCTTTAAGTGCCAGTTTATTTTGGTATATTTTATTTAGTATGGATGATATAGAAGAAATAGGAGTTTTACAGGCACTAAACAATGTTATAAATTCTACTAAAGTTTCACGCTGTTTTTCCGTTATTCGTGAACCCCGCTGTTCCATTTTTAATATTCTAAATCTAAACCACTCCAATTCTCAAGTCCAAAATACAAATAATCACAGTTAAAACATCCAAAAACCAAAAAATATTAGACATCTGCAATCCATTTAATTTTATAATTTTTGCATTTTTGGCAATTTTGACATATGTCAATGCAATTATCTCATATTCAGTGATACCATCTTTGGTATTCTCAATCCTCATTGGTTAAGACTATGCAATAATCAAAGACTCTTCGTTAACACGTTCGACTTGATTCGCGATTATCGCATGGTGTTCAGGAATACTAAATTGCTGTCGTGTGCGTTAACGACCATGCGTTACTTAGCGCATGCGGCAGTTAACGCATGTTTCGAGAATTGGGCCCCTGGCCCATAGATGACAGTTCATGTCTATGGACAGGCCTTATAAAATAAAAATAGAAAGCCCAGGCAACCAGTTATACAACATATGCTTACAGATGCGACATTTTAATAAATTTTTCAACATAATTTTCTGTCCTGCAACAACTTTATTTTATTCTATCAGAAATAAATGGTTCCTGTTGGCTTTCAAAACAAGCATTAATATCTTGTACAATCTCGTATCGTCTCCTGGTGAGATGTTTCTTCAAATTCTTGAATAAAAAAGTCAGACACAGCAAATCCGGACTATATGAGTGTCGTACAAAAAATGTACACTCGCCCAGCGTTTACTCTGATTTTGTTTATATATGTATAGTCTCTAAATTTTTTAAATTATTTTGTAAGATGTGCTGCCTAAGAATTTTATGTATTAAATTTTTTGTTGCCTAATAATTTATAAAACACAAAATAATCAACATGAAACCAAATACACAAGTAGAAAAACATTTAAATATTCTTTTACATAAAGCTTTAATAAAAAAGATAGTTTAAAAAAAATGAATATTTCTCTAAAATTTTAATAAAGTAAAACTCTTTTGTTTTCAAAATCAGTTTTGAAATATACATGTATTTAATAAAAGTCAATTTATATGTTTTGTTGTTGTAATTCTCTACAGAAAATTAAGTGTTTTGTATTTAACTGCTTAAAATTAAAGCTTCTCAGAAAGATTCTTATTTAATATATATACCAAATTTTAATTAAAACCTTTTATTTGTGTTGGCAAATCTGCCAAAGTTTATCCACTGGATTATTAACTTAATTAGAAGTACTATTGATCTTTTTATCAACTGAAATTATGGAAAACACAACATTGTCATTAGACCCATATTATTTTGTTATTGATTCAGTGATTTTACAATATCGGAATACCACTTGAACCCAACATTATTAATTTTTCTGTGTACCTGATTTGATGAATTGCGTATAACATGAAACACATTCTAGGCAACGTTTAAAAGAAAGAAAAACCATGTCTTATAATTTGATTTTGTTAAGGTGAGTAAACAATTTATTGCTTATAGTTTATAGATGTATTTAGCACTACGGTAGTGGCGTGAGACCATGACAAATCATTTTCGTTTTCCATTATATCTCCTATTTTGTTCTGTGATTCACTGGAAGAATTGCCTAATAAGACAAGCTGCTTATTTATAAGGAGGTATTGTCAAAGTAGTTGCCAATAAAGCTAAACTACAATTTCATCTGATTTATTAAATGTATTTTGATATTTAACAGAATGTGAATTAAAAGTATTCATCAGAAATCCCGAAAATCCGTTCCAGGATAATTTCAGATTACAGGTCGTTTCCAAAAAAAAAAGGAACGTCTGTCTAAGGGTCGATTCCACCGTTATAAGAGAACTTGCCTTTCATCAAATTTTAAGAGGTAGAGATTATGAAAAGAAATATTACAATAAATCCAGGATCTTCAAAATACCTAAAATTCATTTTGAAGCACAACTATACTGATGTTATTGACTGGCAAAATACTAAAGACTTTAACCCTCCCGCATTATTCAAGTATTCAGATGATTTCTTATGAATTTTATTGGAATAGGTAACATACCAGATATTTTTCGAATTTTTTGCCACTCAAATAGTTGAACGATACATAAAGCTTGTCACCGACGCTTCATCTTCTGTGTGTGGAGAGTCTAGAAGAGATGGATATGTTCGTTCTAAGATAAAGTCCCAAAAAAACACCTAAATTTAAAACAAAAAACAATTTAATTTATAAACACTGTCCTACATTTGTTGGAAGCTTGGGTGGAGTAGGGTGGAGCTCGTTTTGCGGCTACCTCCACTTGGTGAGCTCTGGGTTAATTTTTGTAATATTAGGTCATTTTTTCCACATCAATATATTACTCAAATTAAGCGAGGAATCGCTAGAAAGTGTAATAAATTTATTTTAATCAAATAGGTTTGTATTAATAAATAATCATGATTTTCACTTGGTCTGCGGGACCTCTAAACCTTTTTTAAAAGCCAAAAACCAAAAGTGGTTGTCATCTGTATACTAATATAATACGTTTGCAATCTAATGTACATTTAAATTAAAATAATTGATATTATTTTGGCAATTTAATATTATGTAACAAAAACGCGAATATTTAAAAATCTTATTGCCTTGCGGACCCTCTAAATATTATTTTATTTCAATAAAAAATAATATTTGTTTTTTTACATAATAAGACACAGCTTTTTCACAATAATGCTATTTTAAATTAAAAAAAAAAAGTATTTTTTCGCTCCACCCTATTATACAGGGTAGGTATTCCACAGGATATAACCAGTTTTATATGAAAATCGTATTGATTTCAATTAATGACCTGTATTCTACAAATATTTTTTCTATACATATTTTAAATTTTTAAAGGAATCTTAATTTGTAAGCTTTAACAACATAACCTAGTATATTGTCGTTATTTAAATCACAATACAATCACCTGCGATATGCATAGCCGAAACATTAGACTATCAAATAAAATGAAAGTTTTTCCATTACATTATCGGGTGCTCTTTTAATCTAATTGAATTCTACTTACATACTTACAAAATATGGAGTTGAATAAGATTCTTATTTTAAATGGCTCATCCTGTATTTAATAATTTAAAATGATAAACATTTAAATTATCTTTCATTCCATAGAAGAATTTCCTGTACCTAAATTCAACGGTTCTTTTAGTAAATAGCTGTTTTTTTTATTTTTTAGCATACCGATTTTTTTAATATTTTCCAAACATCCCCCTTTTTATACAGATTTTTACAATCAATAGGCTTTGTCCCCTTATAGAGCTTGATTTTTGCCAAAAACTTTAAGTTGATATTATTGTTCGTTTTTGAGTTAAGATTTTTTTTAATATTTCCACCCACCCCCAGACAGCACACCAAATCCTTTGGATATCTATTGAACATCCCAATATCCACTGAATGTCCAGTCCATGGTAGATATTTATTTTATATCCATGAAATGTAATTTATAGACATGCAAATGTCCATAAATAATAGTAATTATATAGCAAATTATTAAAAAATTATGCCATTGTGCTCGCCATTGTGGTTAATAGTACCATTCAGATATTTAAAATTAATTTTTTTAAGGTGTATTCAATATCCCATGAACATCCACTAAATATATCAAAGTCTAGGCGCAAACGCAAACCATCGTGGATATCCACTAGATGTTATTTGATTCTGCTTACTTAGTATAGATGGCGATACCACTATCGCATCTACTCATGCTCGACCCGCCGTAATTGAGTTCGATCCAAATTTGTGTCCTAACCATTCCTTTAGAGACTGGAGTCGAGAATTTTCATTTATTGCTGAAGAGTCCTAATAAGGATGACTTTCTCCTTAGTGGGCAAAATCAAAGGCAGAGTGTTGAAAATATTTTTTATCTCTGCTATTTTCTTTCGACGTTATTCAATAATCATTGGTTACTTATGAACCTCTACTAAAGATACCCATAAAATATTTTGCTGAATATCCGAATATCTTCTATATCCTGGGATATAGACGGACATTTGGTTGGATATCCATATTGGAAATATTGAATATCCACAAAATATATTCTGTGGATATCTCTGTGATTTCTTGTATTTTCTGGAAGATACCCATTAGATATTTTGCTGAATATCCATTAGGATATCTTCTATATTCTGGATATAGACGGACATTTGGATATCCATATTAGATCCACGGAATATTTCTGATATCCTGTGGATATATTGGATATCCACAAAAGATATTCTGTGGATATCTGGGATTTGGTGTGTTGTCTGGGCCTTAACCCCCCATATTAATTCAATTTTGTTTAAAAAACAAGAGGCTGCTTCGTCCTCTTGATTTTCCTGAAATTTTCAGATTGGGTTTTGGTAAAACATTACTGACATCTAGACAACCAATATTACCTTCTTGTATTGTTAGTTGCTCATGCATAACTCCATTCATTTTATTGACAAATAGAAAATCATAATAATAATATTTTCAACGACTTGTAGTATGTTTATATTGCTTTTTAAAGATATTTAGTTTTCAAGAAAGTGGGTTATTTTGTGTTTTAATTATTTTGAGCTGATTTAAAATGTAAAATCAACATTATTACTAGGTTTCAAGTTCAACCAAATTCTATTTTTATAAGTCAACCTGCTCTTCTTTGATATAAACTTTCAATAATAAGGTATATTATTGATTATAAAACCAAAAAAGGTTAATTTTCATTTGTTTTCTTTTCGCAACTGGTGACATAATTAATTTTTCGAAACCGGTTTAATAATTTTCAACATTATGCAACATGTTGCGTAAAGTAGATCAGTTTGACACTTACTGCGATTACAAAAATGCCACTTTGTGTCAAAATTATAAGAAAAAAATAATTATGTCATCAGTTGCGAAAAGAAAACAAATAAAAATAAACATTTTTTGGTTTTAAAATCAATGTATACATCATTATTGAAAGTTTATATCAAAGAAGAGTAGGTTGATAAAAATTAAAGTTAGTAATAATGTTGGTTTGGTCCTTATTTTCCATTCTCAAACAACACAAAATAAAACAATACGTGACAAAATAACCCACAATATAAACAAACTACAAGTCGTTGAGAATAAATCATTAATATGAAGTTCTGTTTGTCAATAAAATTATGCATATGCAGCTAACAATACAAGAAAGTAATATTGGTTGTCTACATGTCAGTAATGTTTTACCAAACCGCAATTTTATAAATACAAAATTAGAAAAAATATTGTATGTAACACGTTACGAAAACCCGTTTTATGTAACTTGTTCATGTTGCGGAACCTCGCTCTGCTCGTCCCACACATATTCACGCGTTTCATAAAATAAGGCATTTCGTAACTGGTTGCATAAATAGCTATTATGGCGATTAACGAGTCCATTATTATGAAACGTACACTCGCCCGAAAATAGAACATTATCAAAAAAATCTGCATCTGATTCTACTTTATCCATAACCAATAAACAAAAAACGATTCATTGTTGAAAGCCCCTTTGATGCAGTTCTTGCGTTTAACATTTAAATTCAGTTGTCACTTTGATGGGAAAGACTATTAACCAAAATTAGGTATGTTAAAAATAAAATACAGCTATTTACTAAAGAACCCTTCAATTTAGTCATGGGGAAATATTCTATGGAGTGAAAGATACTTTAAATGACAATCGGTTTTAGTTATTAAATACAGGGTATCATTTAAATTAAGAATATTATTCAACTCCATATGTAAATCGAATTCAACCAGACTAAACTATGAAGTAATGGAATAGAATAGTTGTCTTATATATTGGTTACGCATATCGCAGTGCTGATGTGTTTTAAATAAACACAACATATACTAGGTTATGTTGTTCAAGCTTAAAAATTAAGGATCCTTTAAACATTTGAAAAAAGAAACATTATTGAAAATTTTCTTTATTTTTTCTGTGAAATCAAAAGCAAAAGACAGTATCAAATATAAGTTGTCCCATTTAAAAAATCCAAATTATTTTTAATTCGGTGATCTCGAGTAGAGTTCCGACTTCTCTAGGTCCCTTTGAATGATGTCCGAGTAGAGTCCCGGAGATGGTTGAGTAGAGTCCGAAGCTCATTATCTCAGGTACCTGAATTATTTTATTTTTTTTTAGTTTATTTTTTAGGGAACATGGTAATAAAGTAAACCAGATTGATAAAAAAATGTATTTATTAATCATTCACAGTGCTATAAATATTTTTAAACCTAAAATAAGGGTGATTTATTTTATATTTACATAAACTACAAAATTAGGTTTTCTACATTTTAAATCGATTTCCAACTACCTTAATAAATTCCAAGTTTATTATATCATGATTTTTTAATTGCCATATCTTGTCATCTAAAACTTGTTTGTTTTCTATAGTTTTTGCAGAGTATATTTTCTTTTCATTTTGTTGCGCTGTCCTTATCTTTATGTAGGTATCACTTTGAAAATCTATTAAAACCGAAATAAATTGAAAAATATGAGGATGTGCATGGTAAAATGCAGAATTAAACCGTGAATGAAAACTTTCGCAGGCATTTGTAGTTCTCTTAACACTACTTGTATTTTCAGCCCATATGTATGGTGTAAATTTGGACGATTCTGTTATGTAAGTATCTACAAGATAATCTGCGAATGATGTAAGTTTGGAATTGCTGGGTTGAGAAGAAATTAAATCAATAGCAAAACAGTCTCCAACATCTATTGAATTAAGAAACGACAAACCAAAACAGTTTCTCAAAAATTTTCCAACTTCTGAATCCTTATCCTTGTATGCAGTGAGGCCAAGTTGATGTATTTTTCGCCACCTAAAAAGTGCATGTTGCATTTAGTAAACTGACAGCATTGAAATATATATATTTTTTTAAAGAAAAATTACGTCTATAAGTTTTGGACAATCAAATTTTATTAAACTTTTTTCCTAATAATATTTTAAATCTCTAATACTTAATTATAAGGACATTCTATTTTTAAAATTTAATTTCCTTAAAATCAATAAGTATTAGAGATACAAAACCTAGCAAAACATTATTGAACTAACCCTAGTCATTGAAATATTTATCAATAACTTACCATGATTGGCCCAAATGAAATCTACATCCCACAATACTTGTCTTCGCCCAAGTTTCTAGCACACTTTGGTGGATTGCCTCTTCAAAATCTGCCACTACAGTCGTTGGTCCCAATATTTTACCAATCTTTTGACATTCTTCTATTGCATATATTAATGCCAACATATAACTTTTCTTTTGCTTATTTGGAAGTATGAAAAATACTAGAGGTACATAATGGTCACCTGCTAATCCGTGAATGGAGAACATTTGAAGGAAAAATTTGGTGCAGAAATTGAATGTCCCATCCACATATATGGATTTCAAAGTGCACAAGAACTCTAAATTCTTTTTTGATGAGAACATAATTATATTGTTTTCTGTGTCGTTTACCAGAAGAAAAGTTTCGCCCCGATTTGTCGTAACAGGATAGGAATTGAGAACATTGTGAACTTCTTGTTGATTAGTTGGAAGTTTTGGTACAAAGCTCCTTCGAGAGTTGTATATGTTGTTTCTAATACATTTGACATCGCAATTAGTCAATGTTCCGACATCTCATTTCCTTAGTTCTCGGTGAATTAATTTTAAAGGTCTCTCACTTAAATCTTCTGAGGCTTTTCTTTTTAGGGAATTGCTCACTTCATTCCTATTAAGAATTTTTTCATCAAGTGGTGGGTGGTTATGGTTGTCGACAACTTCTATTATGTTTGTTTTTCCCTCTGTCTTCAAATAGGCCGTACACTTTTTATTTCCACTTACAGAACACACCCAACGTTTAATACCACCAGATAGTTCTTTGTGAAAACGATATTTATATCTATCTAACACTAGAAGCTCCTTTCCTTTCTTGCTAAGTATAAACTTTAATGCACTCATGATTTAATCTTGTCGGTTAGTAAACTAAACTAAAACTGTAATAAACAAAAGATATAATTGAATATTTTTATTTTATGCATGTTTTTGGGCATATAGAAAGGGAACAATCAACTTGTAATTGTCATGATCATAAACAATTAATAAATAGTTATTGAAATATTAATAATAGATAATACTAAATATTCAAATTCAAAATATAGGTAGTTAATCCTTTAATGACTTAATCTGACCCTGGACTCTACTCAACCATCTAAATTTTGGACCGTCATTATAGCAGGTATAAACGGGACTCTACTCCGGTCTGCCCATAATCATGTTAAAAAAAAAATTAAATTTAAGCCGTTTTCCCTACAGAGACCGACGCGTAGAGGATACGCCACTCTGTATATATTTTTCTAATATATCTTTACATATTATATTGTCACTAAGCATTATTTACTATTTTAGAAAGACAAACTCTGAACACGACAAATGGAGGCTACTAGTGATGACTATTACCTTAATATTTTTTCTTGCATCTTTTATTTTTGTCGTGCTTGACAGTATAGTTGGTATCTTTGATTTGGACAGTAAATATCCCAATTGTTCTGCAAATGCACCACAGACTCATGACCAGAAGTTTCTACTTCAACCAAATATTGGAAATTTTTTAGCGCCGAACTCATGCAATATTTTAAAAAATCATCAGTGCGAAATAACTTGTGAAGGCAGTGTAATTGTAGACAGCGATATTATTGAAAAATCACATTATAATGTAAGTATAATTCAAGACTTGATCATTTCAAAGAAACTGTGGGGTTTAAGTCAATATGGATTTTTGTTTAATTAGTCAATAGGTATACATTTTGCCGAGCCCTAGAAGACAATCACAAAATATAACACTGAAAATGATATTTATTTTAACTACATTAATAATAGTCCAATTAAATAACGAAAAAAAGCCCCTTCGAGCTTACATTAATTTGTAATTGGACGAAACAAAAAGGACTTTGTGTATTTTGATGTGATCTTTCCGAAAAAAAGAAAAAAAGATGTAGCAGTTTTTCAATTTTTTTTAAATTAGGAAAAACCGGGTTCTCCGGAATTTTCCATTGTAAAAATGCTAATTATCTGGGCAAGTATCATCCCGATAGTAAAAATAAATGCACCATTCGAAAGAGGAGGCAAAAATAGTTCGGAAATTCATTGCACAGGTATTTTTAATGGCGAATTTCTCGCCGCCAGAAGTGCTTTTACCAAAAAGTCGTTTTTTTTTCGTTTTTTTTTATCAGAACCATGGACATGAAATTTGCGATGAATTTGTGGCGAAATTATAAATATTAGACATATGTGCCCATGAGAGAAGTTGCGTATTTTTTTGTTGGCTCTCAAATAAAATAAGTCCCGCGGCGAAATCTGCCATAATTTTTCGGGAATTCGCAGGAAACCGGAAGGCGTAGTTTTTTTTTTAATTTTTTCCCATATGATTTTTTCCGGGTTTTGCGAAAACATCTAACAAAAAAAATATATTTGAAAAAACTAACCTCACCATCGAAAAGAGCACATAAAAATACACAAAAAGGTATACTTTAAAAATGTTAGGAAATTAATCCTAAGCCTGAGTGTAAGTTCCAACTTAGTGATAAGCTTGCTTTTTGTTCTCTAATATCTGGTTTTTAGTTATTTACAAGAAAACTTGAAATGTGAGAAGATATATATGCATGACAAAAATACGTATTTTCTAGTTACGTTCCGAACTTTTTGAAATTTTTTTCTTAATTTCTCGTACTTTTTTCTTAATTAACTTGAAAACTAATTATCTGAATAGAAAACTGTTTCCGTCAGATGATAGAGAAAAAAAAGACACGAAAAACTGTGGCAAAGATCGGTAATTCTCGCGAGAATTGAAGCTACTCGAATTTTCTGGCAATTGGGAGAGACAGTAAGCTTGTTTCTCATTAAACTTACTGATTCTAATATATTTTCAGTCTGTAAAGTGCCCAAATTACGGAAAAAATCGACAGTGTGCTTGTTTTTTCTCAAAAAAAAGGGAACATGTTGGATTTAGGAAAAAACCACTCGTTTTACGAGCAATTTTCTAAGCACAAAAAATGCGTAGTTTTCGGTTATATTTCGAATGTCATAGGTCGCATTGCAAATCTGCAATAGTTCACCCTCTGCAAGTGTCTGATGACATAATAAACACAGGCCAGCCATTGCAACCTAGAAACAAAAAAATTATAGCACTGTGATAGAATTTTCTTAATTTAGGAACGTACTTACTCAATAAATTGCTGAAGAAGTTCGAAAAGCCACGTGTACACAGAGCTTGCTGAACGCGGTTATTAAAAATCTATGCCGATGAACACTATCAAGCGATTCAATTTGTACAAATATGACCGTTTGAAGTTTAAACTTGTCAGATAGCGAACGCCGAGACCATTACTATCCTTGATGCGACGTGAGGCTAATTTGGCGGTAATTCTATATTTTGCACAAAACTCAAGAAACGTCTTATAACAAGTCAGTAAAATACAATTTAATAAATTTTAAGCCTAATAAATTTAGATATGTAAGAAATTTAAAACTGGAAATCGCAAAAAAATCAAATTACAGTAATGTAGTGTATACACGAGTTTTGGATCACGCGGAGCGCTTGTAATGGGACTTTTGTCGGGAGAATTCTACAACTTAGAAGAAAGATACACACTTTAAACTTTGTATACACATTTAGAAGACATGAAATTTGGGTTTGCCTAATTTTCAGACCAAAAAACTAAAAAATTGTCAATTTTAGGCAACTTTTCTCAAAAACCGTGTTTTTTTGGTCGTCACTCAATGAACACTGGTCAAAAAAATAGATAAAATATATTTGCAGAATTTTCCGTAATGTAATCGTATTCTAGACACAATATAGTACTCAAAAAAAAAGTTTCGAGCCATTGGGTACATTTTTGGCATTTTTGTGCCACTTCAAACTTTCGAAAAAAAAATTGTTTTTTTTTAAGGAAATTTTTTTGTTTAATTTTTTGATATCTTAGCCAATTATGATCCGATGTCAGTGAAATTCACACACACATAAGATTTCACATTTAAGAGTAAGCTTTGTAAGTGGCATTAAAAAAATTCAAATAGTTTGACCGTTATAGGCAAACAATGAAATTAGGACCGCGGTACACTTTGCCCTTCCTCCATATGCCCAATTTTGGGATTTCTCTTGCTCCCTTCTGGAAATCACTAGTCACATCCCTTAAGTTCAAAACGCATTTTTGTTTTTTCAAATATCTTAATTTTTACCAATGTTATGAAGAATTTAGTGTTTGAACATTTAACAAATTCAATTTTTCGACCTTCGTCGCCTCAAAATCCTAAACAAATTTCAATCGTCCATACCGCGAGAACGGTGCATCAGATCAAAATTTTTCAAGAGAGATAAAAATTATCGTTTTTCTTAATCTTTCAAATGTCGTAAACTGCGTTTTAAAAATATTGATTTATTTCCGACATGCGCCTGCGCAAAATTGAAAAATTGACAAAATCCAAAATTTCGGCACTTTCGAAAAACTGCTACATTTTGTTTTGCCTTTTTTCGAAAAGATCACCTCAAAATACATAGAATCCATTTTGTTTCATCTAATTACAATTTAATGTAAGCTCAAAACCCGTAATTTAATTCGATTATGAATATAAATGAAAAATTTAAAAATGCCAAGCTTAAAAATAATATTTAAAATTATGTACCTACAATTATTTAAATACCATTAGAAATATAAAATTGACGAAATTGAATCATACATTTTGTTTACAGACGTGTGAAGACGCAGACATTTTACTGACTCTCAATAACGTCAATTTTAAAGACAGAACTATCCAAGAAGGTTGGTTAAAAAAATTCCCAAAAATGATTATCACTCTTCAAATCGAATTCAAAGAATTGACATTTTTGGAGAAGCGTAGTTTCGCAGGAGGTCCGTTTATCAAGTTGAAAAGTTTAACGTTAATAAATACTAACACTTGGTATATAAAAAAAGACATTTTCGAAGGTAGTACCCTATTAAATTTACAATTTCGTTGCACCGAAATGGAAGAAATCAATTTTGAAGATGGCGCTTTAAAGTACATAGCAAATAGTTTGGAATCACTACAGTTAAATACTTGTAAACTTCATCCACAGGTAGGTTCAGTTATATTTTTAAATACTTATCCAAAACTTAGGTTTACTCTGATAACTATTTTTTAACCGTAACTAAATATGACCTTGTACAGGATGAAAAATAATTAGCCCAAGAGCCCACTGCAATTTTTGGCCTTCATTTGATAACCAAATGAAATATGGCCATATCGTAACTAATTTTAAAATAATTTATGACTTTTAATAATTTTTAAAATAAAATAAACGAAAAAAAAATAAAAAGTTCATTTCACTTTCGTGTGAAAGGCAAGAACGCTAACCACAGGACCATCTAGTCTTTTATTTTTGTTGCTTAAATACTCGTAATTAAATTGACCTCATATAGTTTTATTTAAATTAACAAATTATTTATAATTATAGACGAAACAAAAACAGAAATGCTATTATTTATTGATTCTACACAAGAATAACCCAATGTAATGTATTGTTACGCAGGTTTTTGGTATCGCAATTTATTTGAACTCAACTTTTACAACAACTATTCAACTGATAACATTAACATAAACGTCTATCATAAAACTGAAAACTGACGTCAGGATCATCCTTATATAGCTTGCTTGACCCTTCTCGAACCTTCTAGAACTGACATCTAGAATATTCTTGACGGGTAATGACATTTCCAGACATTTCGGGACTATTCCATCTTCTTTTACCTGTACTTTTACTTATAACGACCGCAGCACACTATAGTGTGATGGGTGACATTGCACTTCTTTTTATATTTGTACGTTTCCTATAACGGCTGCAGGCCACTGCAGGGTGTAGTGTAACAGTATGTTTAATATCAATAACTAAAAAATATACTGACAATTAGTTTTCAGGTAAACAAAATTATCACTGTTATGTCTTATGTGATTGATTACTATCCGAAGAGTACATTACTTTACAATGAGCGGAAACCAGATTGAATTTATAGGCGGTAGGCGTAGTCACAGACCCACCAGCGTCTTATTTATAATACCGCACAGCTGCATTCTATTATAAATAACACGCTGGGAGATCTGTGACCACACCTACCGCCCATAAATTCAATCTGGTTTATGTGCATTGTAAAGTAATGTACTCTTCGGATAGTAATCAAGCTCTATTTGTATCTGCAACGTGTGGGGGTGGGTTAGCTCCGCGGCCCCTAGATCTTATTAGGCCCATTGTGCACTCTCCTGAGATGATAGGCACCTCCTAGCTCGTGAGCCAGCCTACAGATTTAATGTAGTTGAACAACGTCGCCAAGAAGTGCTTCTCTTATATCGGCCGGTGTTAGCTGATACTCGCCGAACACAAATCTTCTAATAAATGAGAGCGACGAGCAATCGTAAAGGATATGCTCGATGGTCTCATCTTCTTGTAAGCACCCTCTGCAGAGTGCGGATTCTGACAGCCCCATGATATGGAGATGCTTTCGTACTTGGTAATGACCAGTCAGAATGCCTGTGACTAGTCGCAGATTCTGTCTAGTCATAGTCAAGTATTTGTTTGCTGCAGTGTTATCAGTATAACTTAAGAGCTCCCTGGCAACTCTGCAGTTTCTTGTTTTATCCCATCTTTCCTTGAATTTCACAAAGGAATGTTCTTTGATTAGGTCTGTAACTACCGATTTTGTCAGGCCAATAAAAGGGCCAGGTCCAAAAAGTATTTGGTTAGCTGCTTTCTTGGCTAGTAAATCAGCAAGACGGTTACCTTTCGATGTGGTGTGACCACATTGTTGATGGATACTTCCGTCAAAGCTTCGTGACATTCTAGTACTAACCCTGAGTAAATTCGTGGTCTGTTCAGGGTGAGTAGTGCTTGTCTGCTATCTGTACAGATGAGCATGTTCCTTCTAGTGATATTGTTTCTGGTTATTTTTTTTTGCTGCAATGAGAATACTCGTTAGCTCTGTTTAAACTACACTGGCACTATTGCTCAGAGCCCATTTTATGTTTAAGTTTAAGAATCTGGAGTATATTCCACATCCTGAGCCTTGTTTTTTTTTAGAACCGTCGGTGTAGATATGAATCGTACCTGCCACTTCCGGTTCTTCTATTTGTTCTATTATAACTTTTTATGGCTTATACAAGATATACCTCGGTGAGATGGAGTCCATGTTCGCTTAAAGCAGTGTGAGCATATCGAGCGCCTCCTGCCAAAAGCTACGTCTCGCCTCAACAGATCCTACATCAGGTTCTATTCCAACCGTGCGGAGGCGTGTCATTGTCGTCAGAGTAACCTCCTTCATGTAAATATCAAGGGGAGTGAGATTAAGAATAACTTCCATGGCCCTGGTCGGTGTTGTTTTCATGGCTTCTGTTATGTTGAGACATGCTGTTCTTTGAATTTGTTCTAGTTTTCGGATAGCTGTTAATTTTTGGGTTTTCGGTACCCAGATAACTGCACCGTATGTTAGCATAGGTCTTATGATAGCCGTGTAAGTCCATGTGACGACTCTGGGGGAGAAACCTCAGGGGCGCCCCACGGTTCGGCGGCATTGTTCATAACTCTATTTTCTAAATGCGAGTTCCATGTTAACTTGCTGTCAAAGGTGAGACCTAGACACTTCACCTCTGTTGCAAAGTTTATTTTTGTGTTTAGGAGTTCTGGAGGTTTTTATTCCATTTTCATCCTTTTTCTTGTGAAAAGGACCATTTCTGTCTTCTTAGGATTGATAGACAGTGAATGGTCCTTGCACCACTGTCCGATAAATTTTAGAGCTACTTGCAGAATGATCAGGTCATCTGCATATGCTATTGTGTAGTGATTGTCATTATTGAGGCGGCTGATGAAGGTGTCGAGGACCATATTCCACAGTAGAGATGGTAGCACCCCTCCATGTGGACATCCCCTCGCAACCAAGCCTCTTATATTGACATCTTCTAAACTCATGTTTACTGCTCGCTTTGATGGCATGTTATGTATCCACCCACTAACCATTTGTGGAACATTCCTGTTGGTTAGTGAGTGTATTATCTTTGAGAAGGTGGTTTTATCAAAAGTACCTTCTACACCCAAGGCGGACTCCTTATTGTCCAGGGATCTTTCTAACCGGCCAGTAACTAGATGAAGGGCTGAATTAGTAGATCTGCCTAGGGTGTATGCATGTTGGTTTGGGTGTAGTAATGTTGTTGTAATCATCGCATCCCGTATGTACTTTTCGCATAGCCTGTCCAATGTCTTCATGGAAAACGATGTCAGACTAATTGGTCGGTATTTTTTGGGACAGTGTAATCCATCCTTCCAGGTTTGTGTATAAATACCACTTTTACTTCTCTTCATTTTTTGGGGATATACCTGAGCCAACAAGGATCTGAATATACCCACCAGGTGCGGTGTGAGTTCTTCCAGGCCCCCACTGAAGTAGGGCTGGATAGATAACGCCAGGTCCTTGCGATTTAAATGGAGAGAAGTTGAATATTGCCCATGTAATTTTTTCATCGTTTACAATGAGTTTGGCAGTTTGCCAATCATAGATGGATTGTATTCTTCCTCTGCCCAGTCCGCCACGTGTGTGATGACCAAGTCAGGGAAGTGTGTTGACAGCATAAGTTTGATGCTATCTTCGAGGTTGGCAGTTTTCGTGCCATCCTCTTTGATTAGCGCACCAATGCTTTGGTGTGGGTCTTTTGAGAGAGCTTTTTGAAGCCTCGCTGCCTGCGCGAAATCTTCGATTTCTTCGTAGTAGGATCTCCATGCATCTCTTTGTTTTTGTCTGACGATTTTTTTGTATTCTCTGAGGTGAGATTTGTAAGTATCCCAGTCCTCTTTGAGTTTTGTGGTTTTTGCCTTTTTAAAAGATTTCCTAGCAATCTTCCTGAGGTGATCCAACTCGTGACACCACCAAGCGGTAGTCGTCTGATCGTGTTGGACCAGCCTCAGAGCTCAGAGGACAAAATTTCTTATAGGCATTGTTTATTGTGCTTTGTGTACTTTTACAAAGCAGTATTATTGTTTGGTCTTTCGGCCTCCATCTCTCTCAGAGCCTCTTGGAGAAGGTGGGCATAGGTTGCCCTGTCCGTCTTCCTATGGTTCCGAGATAGTGTGGAGGTCGGCAACATCAAGTTTATTTTGAATGTTAACCAGCGGTGGCCTGACATCGAAATGTTATCATATACTTGCCAGTTTAGAATTGATTAATAGATGCCAGTTGTGGATAAAGTGACATCTATTGTGTTTGACTGCGAGAGTTTAAAAATGTTGGTGTGGTACCTTTATTTAAAATACAAAGGTTTTTTGTAATTATATAATCATAAAGTGACTTACCTCTAGCGTTATCCTTACTGCCCCAACTGAAGGGATGAGCGTTTGAGTCGCAACCTATTACCAGCTCAAACTTCTGTTCCAGGCAGTACCTATTCAATCAGATTCTTCATCTCTTTGCTGGGTGATGGAGTGGTTGCGTCGGAGGGGAGGTATGCAGATGCCAGGATTAACGTTCTCTTTTCCCTTTTGATGGCGTATTCCACCCTAACCGCAGTTAAATCGGAGGTGGGTAGGTATGCCATTGAGTGGGCTTTGTATTTTTAATGCCTAAAATTTTGGTTTCTATTATCCAGGGTTCCTGGATGAGTGCTATTGTATATCTTGCAGCTCATCAAGGCGGCGGCATAAAGTTGCCGTAGCCACCCTTTTGTGCTGCAAGTTACATTGTATAAACGTTACCTCTTTTATTGCTTCCCGGCTCTCTGTTGAAAATTGGGCAGCAAGGTGGTTATTTATTCGATTATCCCTTCCTCCTAAAGTGATAAGGGGGTGGTCTCTTGTGGTTCCTCAGTTTTGTTGCTGTAGGTAATCGATTGCCATTTTTGGGGGAGAGGAGGGTCCTTTACCAAGGAGTCTTCACTGGGTCCCGCTTCAGCCTCTTTTTCGACCTTTGGCCTTATAGTCAATGAGGTGAACTTATAGCTCATCCTCTTTGATTTGGCCTTTAGGGTTCGCATGTCCTTGTCTTCGATGCCAAAGACGAAGAGATAGCCCGTAGGGTCTTTTTTGATTTCATGGTGGACAAAGCACCATTTCGCCACATGCAAGTTTGTATTTTGCCCCTCAAGTCGCCTGAGCACAACCTCTTTCTCGTCAAGGTCAGCTTGCGCTTCCCCTGGAATCCAGAGAGAGGCTTTGGTGAGCTTGGGGAGCTCGTCCATCCTTACAACTGCGAGTTTTGCTCCTTCCCATGTTTTTAAGGTCGGTTACCTTGGTTTTTAGTCATTCCAACGTCAGGTCATCGTCGCAGGTTACTCTGATGATTTCACAAAAGTGCGACCAAGACCTGAATGTGGGTGGCTTGGTTTTTGACAAGGATTTCTCTTTCGGTAGTTATCTTACCGTAAGGGTTATCTTTGTCTATTATAGCTACTTTCAGGTGGCTCGTAGCTGCATCCTTGTAGCTTATCCCAGACAGAACTTTGTTGTCCAGGCTCCTTTGCAGGAGGTGAGTCAGGATAGTAAAGTACAATGTTGTTAAATTCCTTTGGAGCATATGTCATTTCGTTATCAGACGATGGCCGAAATTTGTAGTGGATTATCCTACTAAATTAACTCTATAATAATTATCATTGGTATTCCTCATTTAAATTAAATAACATTTGAGATTGTGGAAAATTTCTAACTCATTAAAAAATGTATGTTTATGGTTTTAGGCATTAAAAAATTTGACTGGATCCATACCATTAACTAGTCTTGCTACTTTAGATTTAAGATTCAATTATATTGAATATATCATTAACCAATCATTTATTGGTCCAACTTCTTTGCTACAGTTATATTTGAGTACCTGTGGAATTCAGAAAATGGATAAAAATGCGCTCTTAGGTGTAGGTCATTCAGTACAACTGCTGAATATTAATAACAACAGTTTACGTACCTTACCTGATGGCATTTTTAGGGAATTTCGGAGCAGAGGTAAGCTTAACTTATTTTTCTTCGTCATCTTTAAAAGTACTTCTTTCCGTCTAAATTCTATGTCAGCGCATTATTGTTTCAATCACAAAGTCTCTGGTTTAACAAAAAGTAGATATGTTCACACTGTTTCCATACACACCCATTTAATGGTTTATGGTATACCTATAAGTCTGTTATCTCAATAGATCTTTTTTATTGTATTTCAAATATAATAAAAGACAATTTTTCTGTCCATGGAGTCAACTTATATGCTTAGGAATGATTTGAAGCCTTGTATCCATTTTAGTTAAATTTTGAAATAATGTGAATAAGTGAATGTGTGAAAAATGCTGTCATTGAGCCAACAATTATGTATTTTAAACATCTTATTGGAATAGTTTGTATGATGAAAGAAATAATTCTTTCAAAGATATTGCAGATGACAACTTTGTCAGCAATCTTCAAATATTCCTGATTTGCAATCACTGCTTATTATTTCCAAATCAATTACGTATACCAGATTCTTAGTAACCAACTCATTTTCTCGTCAGTACAGTTTATTCTATTCATCTTAATGAAGATTATTATTTCAGGAACTATCCAAATTGATTCCAATCATTGGAACTGCAACTGTGATCTCGAATGGCTAAAAACGTTCTATATCAACAATAGTCATAATTATTTTAAAGATGGTAACGAACTTTTCCAATGCGATACGGATAACGGAATCAAAAATTATTTAGAAGTCGATTTTTGTCCACCATCCACAACGGTTGATACAACGACAGTAAGTTTTTCCCCAACTACAACAACAAAAAGTTCTACAAAGGATGCCACAACTACAAATGGTACTACAACTTCAATGCGTCCCACAACTACAACGAGTGTAACAACTACAAAACGAACAACTACAATTGATTCCACCATTTCAGTTCCGACCGTTGGACCTACTGCAAGCATACTTACCAGTACTTCCTCACCTGAAGATTTCATTTCTTTTGTATGCAAAGATTGCATGAGAGCTTCACCTTTTAACTTGCACCTTAGTAGAGATTACAGCCACTCGGTGGCTGTGAGAAACGGTTCTATCATTTACGATTTTTATCAGATACAAGGAACGCCTTACTACGACATTAACTTGAGAAATTCGATTTATAATGATTATATGATTTGGTTCAATGTCGATAATCATGATGAAATGGGTTGCCTATATAATGTCAACGAAAAAGTTACTTTGGAAAGTTTGAATTACGCGCGAAAATATCTAATATGTTTGCTCAAAAGTGACAACGATGTGGTTTCTCCTTTTGATTGTACCTCTTTGCTCGTTCCTCCTACTTGGGAGAATACACCTTGGATTTTCAATAAAGATAAAGTACTGCTGCTGGTACTGCTTATTATAATAATATTAATAGCGGTATTAGTTAGTGCAGGAACGATTTATTTTATGATAAGGAATAATCCAAAACTAATAAAAGCCACAAAAAAAGTAAATACTGATAAAACCAACACGTTTGATAAGGACTATCAATACGTAAATCCACTATCTTTTTATTCCACCAGTGACGGATATCTAACTCCGAAAATGAACAAAAGGATAACATCCATGAACTCAATGCGACGTCTAAGTAGAAAGCTTAGTACCATTTCGGAAAGAGATTTTGAAGGACCTTTCAGCGTTATATACAACGTTTCAAAAATTAACGAACAGCTTTACGAACCTCCCCCTTTGCCTCCCAATCATCCATCTAAATGGAGAAAAATCGAAATGGAAGATGAACATCTCTCTTCCGCGCCGGAAGAGAGTTTATGTGACAGTATTAAACTGGAAAAAAATTATATTACAAACTCGGTGCAAGAAAATGTTGCGAATTCGAAGAACAGTTTAAAAGAAGGGCAGTATCTTGATTGTTTTTAAATTTAATCCGAATAATAGCTGGTTAGAACCTGATAGGGAAGAGCAAAATATACCTCTATGCGCTAAACATACTTAAGTATTTTTACGATAAGAAGGCAGTGAGTCACATGATAAAAAGCCTACGGCATTGGAAGGTAGAATTTTTTTCCTTCACTTAAAGTTAACATTGTGCCAGTGTTCTTTCTTTTTCCTAGCTTTAATATAAGTGCATCTATTGTGCTATCAACTTTAAAGTGTTAATTAATTAAGTTATAACTTTATTGAAAATTGGAATGGATATAAAAGAACTGCTAGTCTATAGAACAATAAAATCTTGACTATAAAGCATTTTTAATACTAAGAAAAGTGTTTTAAGATTCAAATAAAAATCTGATGTGTCCAACACATGACTTTCCTGTGTAGTTATTACAGACTTTTCCCGATTATTTTGTACAACCTATTGTATCACCCTGTAAATGTTTAGGGGATTAACTAAATATATACATTTTCCACGAAACTCAAAACATTTTTTTATATAATATCCATTGCCAACGAAAATACTGAAAAATTCAATTTTTACAGTTATCCTCCATTACGATCTATTTTAGAGAAATCAATAATTTTCTTGCGAAGTGAAGGTCTTTTAGGTTATGATCCAAAAACCATTGGTAAAAAGTTAATCGATATTGATAATCTTCTATATTTAAAGTTTGCACGCGTTGTAAATGGTAGGGATGGAAGAGTTGTTCATGAATGACACGCTGTGTCGTCGATTTGGAAGAACCACTGGAACCAGTATGATGTGGATTCGACTGTACAAGTTGCTTGTGGACGACCACCACCACCACCAGAACGCTTAAGGTTCCCCTTTATCTATGGCAACGATGGATGGAAACAAAGGATGTATGATGAGGTTTTAGGGGTTCCATATATCTTTGGTCATACACACGTGCAGCTTTTGTTCCATTACAATTGCATATCAGTAAGTTCTTGAAATGAGAAATTATCGTCGTTTTAACATACATTTTGAATCAATAAATATTACTACCTACGTAAAATTGGCAACTTAGGAATATTTATTGTGATAACAAAATAATGTTTTTGCTCCCCAACAAAAAACGTAGTTGAAACAAAAAATGTCGAACGAAAGACATTAGTGTTTAACTAAATGAAGAATTAATTTATTTAGGTATTTGGAATCATTTTAATCATTTTATTGCTCTACAGTCCAAACGACTCATTAAACAAAACAAGTTTATTTTGATGTCCCCTATAACTCCCTATAAGTTTGTCCGTATATTTTTGAGACATCCTGTATATGTCATGTGCGCTGACACAAAAGTCCCGGTCGAATTGCGGTTTCGATTTCATTTGATAATTTCTTCCAGTAGATAAGTAATTATTGCTTTTCAGATATTTTGGTTTAAATTTAGTGTACGGGAATTGATTTCACTACTCATGCTACTATTCGTAAACTCCAAAGAAATTATTTAAAAATAAACAACAAAGAAAAAAGAGAAAAACTCAAAGTCCTTGTCACAGAAACAACGAGAGACCATTTCCCTTCTGAAAACAACTGCTCCTTTGGCTAATATCCCAACGGGCATCAAAAGGTAAATAGCAGAGATAGAAAATAATTTCCAATACCCTAATTTTGATTTTGCTTCCTAAGGAGAAAGTCATTATTGGACCGGTTTCGTCCTTATTGGACTCATCAGCAAGATATAGACAATTTCGACTCCAGTCTCTAATGGAGTCGGCTGGCTATACAAAATTCGCTAGAACACATTAACAGAGGTTGGGAATGTATAGATATTCAACGATCAAATCTGCACTTAGCAAGCAAAATCAGAGCTAGTTCTCCAGAATAAATTATTTTAAGCTCTTTAATGGATTTTATATTATTGGTTATTTCTTGTAAGAGAAAATGATAAGTTGAAATAAATGATGTTCTTACGCGAATAGCACATGGTGTTGAAGTAACTATAATTTTTGCCTGAGTATTATCAAACTTCAGAATGAGCTCTTATCTGAATTTGAATATAGGATCGAAAAGGTAATGGTCGTAAACATTATGGGATGAAAATGTTTTTCATGTATAGGCGTAAGTGGTAAAGGGACCAAACAGTTTAGTTTGGCCAGGCTTACCGAACAAAGGGACATGGACAGGCGTAAGGGGTAAAGAGGCCAAATATATTTTACATGTGCATGCTTAAGAAGGTAAAGAGGCCAAATATTTTACATGATGGCCAAAAATGGAGTGATCCGCAAAAAATGTTTTCATAGAAGGCATTGGAAAAATTCACGCTTGTGTTCAATTTTTCTTCTTTTTAAATGTCAGTTTAAATTTAATACATGTGCTGACTGAAAAGGGTAAAGTTGCGAAATATTTTTACATGGGCAGGCTTAAGGGGCAAAGGGATCAAATATTTTTACATGGGTGGGCCATAGGGGTAGAGGACACAAAAATGTAATAGATGCACACTTAAGAGGTTAAAGGAAAATATTTTAGATCTGCAACCAAAGGAAACCAATATGTTTATGTGGGTAGGGGTAAATGGACCAAATATTTTTGTAGGCTGCTCCAATAAGAGGTCTCCAATGTTTTTATTAAATAAAATGAAAACAAAATAAGAAAAAATTAAAACTTTATAGCAATAGGTAACATAATCGTATACAATTTTATATGTGAAACACACTATCGAGCAAATGGCCACTGCAATTTCTCTGGCGAGACACAACTCTTTTGTCAACATTTTCGATCACAGCTGTGAACACATTTTTGGTGGTGGATCGAATCTCATTTTGTAATTCTCGAATTGTTTGGGGATTATTTACATATGCTTTACTTTTATGTAACCCCACAAAAAAAGTCTAGTGGAGTTAGATCGTAGGATCTAGGCGACCAGTTAACATCTCTATTTCTTAAAAGAAGTCTACCTTGAAACTCTCTGCAATAAGTTCATTATTGCTCTTGATGTGTGCACCGCCTTATTGGAAAGATTTATTTCAAGATCCATATTGATTATTTCAGGCAATAAAAAGTCTCGAATATGGTGCGGTATCGCTCACGTGAAGATAACACCAGAAATGTGCTCAACTCTGATCTAAAATTTTGGCAAAAGAGTTGTGTCCTGGCAGAGAAGATTCGGTGGCCATTTGATCGATATTGTGTTTCACATATAATTGTACACGATTATGTTACCTATTGCTATAGTTTTAATTTTTTTCTTATTTGGTTTTCATTTTATTTAATAAAGAGATTGGAAACCTCTTATTGCAATACCCTTTATATGGGTAGACTTAAAGAGAAAAGTGGTAAAGAGTTCAAATATGTTTACATCAACAAACTAAAAACTCTACGTGGCTTAGCTTCATAAACCTAAAACTTCAACGTCTAAATACTTCTCCATCGTCTCTCAGTCTTAAGTTCCAAATTTAACTGTTTTTTTTTTTTTGTATATACTACGAGTGTGCCCGTGGGGGCCTCAGTTCCGATAAGGTGGGAACTATAGCGTCTCCCAAATTTTTATTTTCAGATTCTGACTGTTTGCCTCTAAAACTGAATACAGATGGACGTCCTTAAATTTTGTAAAAAAAATATTTTCAGGGTCCCTCAACTTAAATCTAGATTGGATTAGGAGTTGGACGTTGTTTGTCCTTGTACACTTAAATATAATAATAGATTTAAAATAATTTTCAATATTGGGGTTTTAGCGCCAATTTGACCGTTTAAATAAGAGTGAAATAATAAAAAAAAACTGTTTTTAACGGGTAAATTTCTACAATCTTTGTTAAAATCATTCAATGTTTTTCATATTGAGATTTAGGAGTCAAAAATTTCGTATGTGGAAAGATGATAATAATAATAATTAAAAAATATATTTTTAACGGTCAAATTTGTATCCAAAACGCCTACTGAGAAAGTTACTCAAAAAGTAATTTTAAATATGAGTTTGGAAAACCTTTGAGCCCTGGAAAACCACATTTTACAAAGTTTTGTAAAAATTCATTCAAACTTGTACTTTTTAAATTTTGAATATCATGTTCGACAATTTCCACATTGCTTGGTAAAGTCATCCACTGTGTTTTAGTAGGTATTGGGTTTTAGTGGTTGAAAACCGACTACTGTGAAAATTACTACTGTGAAAACTAATGTCAGATTTGGGTTTAGTGACCTCGAAAACCACAAAGTGGTAAAAGCGAAATAATCAAATAAATAGTAGTTTGTGCAACAAGGGTGGATATGGACAATCCACTCGAGTTGTACAGTATATTTTTCTACGACCCACTAACAGAAATTTACAAATTAAAAAAATATTTTAGGTCATTAAGACAAAATAACTAATTTTAAAATAATTTATGAATTGTACTGATTTTTAAAATATAATAAATATGAAAAAAAAATTAGTGGCCAGCCGAGAATCGATCCCCGGTTTTTCGCGTGGAAGTCAAGCACTCTGTCCATGCCTCTCTACGTCTACTTGTACGATTTTGGTTTTAATTAAAATAATTTCATATAGTTTGATTAAAATTTAATTTATTTTTCAAAATATGGTTCAAATAAAAATGCTATTATTTTCGATTATTTATCGATTCTACACAAAAATAACTCAATTTAATGTATATTCAATCTTAATAATTAAAAAATATACTGACAATTAGTTTGACAGGATTGTCACTTATTTAAAATTTTAAAAATAATAGTAGTGGGTGTCCAAAATATGAACTGTGTTTGGTGGATTTCATTTTTTTGCAATGTTCTCACTACCTAGAATGGATATGAAATATATTCGTTCATTTGAACGCAATTACATACTTTTTCGTAGTCTGTGCGTAAATAAGCTAATATCCATGTGGCTGTAGAAAAATATATTGTAGGCGCTTGAACGAATATAGTAAAAGTTACTCGGGTATTAATGTTAGATTTGAGTTTACGGAGTTTTTTGTGTTTAATCTTCTAAAAATAAATTTGAATTTCTGATTTTTATTTTTTTTTTTCTTTCGAATAAAACATTGTTTATTACTACTAATTTTATTGTTTGCATTTACATTTTTCAACATTAAATCATTGATTTCATATACAAGCATAAACTTATTATTAACGCAGGCCATCTATTTTACAATGAATTGGAGACGGTATAATATGACCATGCATGTAACAAACACTACTGATTAGTGCGGAATGCCTGGCAGACATACATACAACTCCCATCACAATCAACTCACTGTCGTACCTCTAATATAATTGGCTTATACGGTCCGCGTTTAAATTTTCGTAGCTATATACAATGTGTCCAATTAAGTCGGAACCATATGGGATTTTTTTTATTCTTGGTTTTATGAAAAAAAATCATTCTTTATAAAAAGTTCTGCATGGTCTAAAGTCTAAAACTTGAAATAAAATCATCAGATATCAATTTTTTTGAGCCGTATACGAGGTTTATCCAAAAATATAATTTTTCTGAA